CCATGCACTCTGCCCCAGGGCCTGGGCCAGACTCATGGAACTCTGTGTTCATCAAGAACTGCACAAAGAAGCCCCTATCACAAAGCCTTTTCCATCCTATTGAGAGGAGTGCATGGACCCGGGGGTTCGTCCCTCAGTTACATAAAAACAACAGAATAGCCCCACTCCACAAAGGGGGCAGAGTAAAGCAACAGCAAAGAAATACAGAACCAATTAGCACTAACTCCCTAATCATAAATATCTTTGAAAGGGGTCCTAAGAAGCAAGCTCACACCCGTCTAGAAACCCATTAGTACACACCAGGGCAAACACCAACCTTGGGTTAGAACACGTCGCTCCTGTCTGTCTCAACTACTGATCACTACGACAAGGTTCTCCTAAATGCACTAGAAGACAAAAAGAATGCAGATGTAAGATTTACAGACTTTGCAAAGCCTTCGACAAGTGTGACCATGGCGTAAATAGCGCACAAAATGCGCGCTCTTAAAGGAATAACAGGAAAAGTCGGTCGATGGATCTATAATTTCCTCACTAACAGAACACAGAGAGTAGTCGTCAACAGAAGTAAAGTCCGAGGCAGCTTACGGTGAAAAAGCTCGTTCCACAAGGCACAGTACTAGCTCCCCATCTTGTTCCTCATCCTCTATCCGACATAGAAAGGATGTCAGCCACAGCACCGTTGTTCTTCTTTGTAGATGACACCCGAATATGCATGACAGTGTTTTCCATTGCAGCACTGCAAGGCTCCAGGTGGACATCACCAAATCTTTCAGTGGGCTGAGAAAACAATATGACGTTTCATCGATGAGGAAAGGAAATTTTTAAATTATCAGATATGGTAAACATGAGGGGTAATTAAGTCTTCATCAGTAGTAAAAACAAATTATGCCCACATATTGAGCCGAAAACACCATCGTCAATGACCTGGAGTGATTATGTCGTGTGGAGGATCTCACCTTCAAGGACCATAACATTTGTATCAATCGCATCTGCTAGGAAAAATGACAGGATGGATAATGAGAACCTTCAAAAACTAGGGAGGCCCAAGCCCTTGATGACAACCTTCAGGTCACGTGTTCTATCTAGGCTGGAAGATTGCTGCATCTAACAGCACCTTCAGGCAGGTGAAATTGCCCCGACCTAGAAAATGTACAGAGAACTTTCACGGCGCGCATAACGGAGATAAAAACTCCTCAATTAATGGGACGCGCTTGAGGTTTCTAATCCTGTATCCCTGGAATCGCAGGAGGGAGAGATAATGATTATATACACCTGGAAAATCTTGAGGGACTTGTACCGAACTTGCACACGAAAATCACTCACTACGAAAGCCAAAAGGGACTTGGAAGACGATTGCACCATCCCCAATTGAAAAGCAGGGGGTTGTCACTAGCACGTTAAGAGACCATTACAATAAATGTTCAGGGGCCCGAGATGTTCAACTGCCTCCCAGCACACATAAGGGGGATTACAACAGACCCCTGGCAGTCTTCAAGCTGGACACTGGGACAAGCACCTAAAGTCAGTTCTGATCAGCCGGGGTGTGGCTGTACGTTGGTTTGCGTGCAGCCAGCCGCAAAAAGCCTGGTTGATCAGGCGCTGATCCACCAAGGAGGCCTGGTCCAGACCGGGCCCAGGCGGGGGCGTTGACCCCGGAAACTCTCTCAGGTAAACTCCAGGTAGCGATGTGTTAGATTGCGCAGTGTGGATCATTATAGTATTTACCATTGGTTTTTATTGTTATTTATAGTGGAGGGTTTTTTGTTTCTATGCTGCCACTTGATCTGATGAGAACTCTCTCAATTAGTGGTAATTAAATCACATTAAATTTTTGTGTGTGCCAATGGGCTCGTAATTCTTTATACCATGATCCAAGTGGTTAATAAAGTTGTCTCTGTGTTCTGGTTGGAGAATAAGTTTCCTCCTTCTGTATTTTAGCACCTTGATGCTGGAGATGTGATGCAAGATTGACAGTTGTGAGTCATGGGAAATGATCAGATAGAAGATCATTCAACTATGACAGAGTCAAGCAACGTAATGATGTATTAAATCCAAGACACAGATCAGTATCCACCATATATGTGGAGTAAGGCCTCCTCGTACTCCTCTCAGTCTCTCTCTCTCAGTAGTACCCACAATTCGAACCATTATTCTTGGTCATTGAGCAATCTCACTAGTTTAGTTCATTGGTGTTTGTAAAGTCCCACCGATATTCTTATGTCTGGGCATTAAAATCTCCAAGAATGATGGTAGGTTTCATATTGATGCGATCGGTAAGGCATCAGGTTCGAAGCTGGTTCGCTGGGGCATAGAGATTAAAAATGTTTATGGAAAAAATCGCCTGCTATACTTGACACCATGATACTGCATGTTAACTCGTCTCTCTTGCAAGGAAAGGAAAGTGAATGTGGCAAGCTCTTTATGACAGACATCACCAAACAGTTTGTTGACTTAGGTTATAAGCTGCATATCCAGGCATGTTTGGTGGAGGAGCTCCTTTCTTTCAAATCTACCATTCCTGCAAAAACACGTGACATAATTATTCTTGGTAGCATAATATGATGTAGTCAGGCACGCTCCTGATGGAAGCTATGTTCATGAAAAAGATTTGTATTTGTATTCCATTGTAGTGAGTTATTACAATCTCTTGCCTCATTAGATGGTTTAAAACATTATGCTTTGACTACAGTGTGCAGGATACTTAAGAGCATAATAGCATAGTTTGTGTCGTCTTTATCTTCAGGACCTTTATTTTTAAGGCATTTTTTCGGCATTTTGGCAGGTAGTGATAAGGGCTATTTTTGAAGGCAAGAGTTTTGGGCTTCTTTCTCACTAATGCTGGATGCTGAACGGTGATTGCTGACTTTTGACATCATACCATGCTCAAGAGCATCATCCTGTTTACATATATTTATTAAACTTGTAGGATTCTGTTTCTAGTTGCTCAATTTTTTTCTGGAAAATTGTTATAATATGAGGAAGGTCAGTGCGTATCAAATGGCCTCTCCCGGAGGATGGGACTTCTGAGTTAGTGCTTCCTTAAACACCTCCACCTTAACGGACCAATAGGTTACTTAGTGTTCGACTGTATGCACCTCATCATTAGCAGGTAGGTTCCTGATGCATCTGAACTCATCCATAATTCCAGGGGTTACCTGTGTGTTCCTGCCGTCTGACGTTGTAGCATTGTGGATTGGGAAAATGACCAACGCATCCCCATATTCAGGTCGTATCATAGTATGTAGTGGCAGACCAGTAGTTCCGATTCAGCAGGGATGCTAGCTCCTCAAGCTTGGTGTGTGTGATGGCATCTGGTATCACCAGAATTTTCAGTGGGGTGAGTAGGTTCTTGCACACTGCAGAGGTTCAGTCTCAGATCTGGCCTGTGGTAGACTGGATGGCCCACCTCATTACCATTAAAGACTGTATCAGGTTTACTCGAAGTGTTGGGTCGACTGCAGTCCTTGTGGGAAACTGTAACCCCAACTTCTTACAGTTTAATACACTTAAATTTTGGCTGTCAGGGCCTACTGGCATTCTCTAGTGGAATGTTTCCCAGCACACTTACCACACCAAGAATGTAGTATTCCACAGTCTACTGCAACATGGCCATAGTGCTGGCATTTGTAACACCTACGTTTAGGGGTAGGTACACTTCGATGTTTAGAAACGTAAACCATGCACCCAGATATTCCGGGAGGGGACGGGACCTACCCATGGCAATAATTTGGGATTTTCCTTAAGTCTTTAGGCTTGATGATATGCTCACTTAGAGTCAGATGGGATGGGTCCATGCAGAGAGGGTATCCAAAGATTATGATACTGACCCATTTTTTAAAGTGGTGAGTGTCTGATGGAGGTCGGAGCAGCTTAATATCCCCATAAGTGTACTAAGTAGATCATTGATCAGCTTCTTTATTCTGTTCCCACAAACACAAAGTTGTGTGTGTTTTTCCTAAAATTGGATCCTTGAGTTAGGATGCTTGTTTACAGCTTCCATTAGCCATGCACACTTAGCAGGCAGCGGGGTGTTGTCAGGGAAGTTCAGCTTAACACATTCTTCCTTTGAAGAAAGACTTCTTGCAGCCATCTGTGCACCAAGGACGTTTAGTATCACATTGTGTACGAGTCAAGTGAGTCTGACTACGTCGACGCTCTAGCCCTTTCTCACTTTTTCTCTTTTGTTTACTTTTAAAGGTCTGGAAGCTATCATCATTTCCATCACCTGCAGAAATAGGTTCCTCTATGACAGTTGCCATGTTTGCCAGTGATGATATCTGGTGTAAGACTCACAACACAAGAATTCCTTCGCTTATCTTTCCCTTATACTTATGCAAGAGCAAATATTCACTACAAAGTCAGAAGTCCAAAATAAAATCACAAACACAAGTGCTCAAGTTCAATGAACACCCTCCAACCATACTCAACCCAGCCCACCACACTCAATCGACACACCCCACCAAAAAACACCAAAACCTCTTGTATGTGTTTTTG